GGAGACGAAGGAGAAAGAGAGGGAGGATGAGGAGAGGAAGGAGAAGGAGACGAAGGAGGAGAAGGAGAGTGAGGAGGAAAGGAAGGAGAAGGAGACGAAGGTGGAGAGGACGGAGGAGGGGAGGGAGGGGCATACGGAGCAGAAGTAGGAGAGGGTGGAGGAGGAGAGGGTGGAGGAGGAGAGGGATACGGGGTTAGAAACTCGTTGAAAGTCACCTTAAGGATATTTTGAGAAAAATCGGAAAAATATCCCCAAAATAACCAGCTGGCCTTAAGCTTGACATACTACCGAGCTTGGATAATTTGCAAAGTCCATGTCTCTGATATATAGTCATCCAGTCATTTCTTTCAAATGCTATGTTGTATTTACTACCCTGACGTGTGTCATCACACTAAGAGCTCTATTTCTTTTTTACAAATTGACTTACTCCTGTATTTTCTGACTTATGCAAGTATAATCTTTAAACACTTTAAGAAACAGCTTGGGTGTATCATCAACCTCTCACGGTATTGGAACAGAAGAGTCATAGCCTTGTTAAAACGCATTTCCATAAAATAACAATCTTTAAACGGTGGAACTTAATACATTCACCCTCATATGAGAGGTGTAACTCTAAAAAATTTAAGATGCATTTTACTTCGTCATTTCTATTGTCTAATTTTTTTCAAATTTAAAGGAAATTGTTAATTCCTCCCAGACTGACTCAGCCAAATGACAAAAATATAAAATGTTTGACCCATGATAAGAGACGTTTGCACAACTTGTATTTTTCCATTAAGTAGTTTAAAACAGCCGTATGCACTGCTCACAGCCGAACGCTCCGTAACCCGGACTCTAGCCTGGAGATCATCAGGAGAGAATGCCTCGCTGTTTCGGGCTCTTTCTCTCTACAGCTTTTCTGACGCACCGAGTCCCCTCACCGATGTGAGGTCTCCATGCTAGTCCGATTGTTTTCCTCTGCTTCCAACTCTAAGGATTCATTCCAGCCTGCGTCCTCTCAAACTTTATTCAATAAATGATTGTTTCAAATGATGTGATGTGGGCCATGGCCTAAAACACTGAATGAACTACTTACTTACTTACTTACTTACTTACTCACTCACTCACTCACTCACTCACTCACTCACTCACTCACTCACTCACTCACT